GGGACAACCTTCTGCACCAACGCGCTTCATTTTGAATCGGGCTGCTTTCACTTGAGTGGCAGCTGGTTAGGAACAGAGTTAAGTTAAACTGGTACCTCATTCCTCCCAGAATTGGAGCAGTTTGCATCATAGATTCATAGATGTTAGGGTTGGGACCTCAGTAGGTCATCAGTTTAACTAAACTGGTGTAATTAAATGTGTGTAAACTCGCATGTGCACAGACAGTCTCAAGGTTCCTCAGGTCACTTAGTACTGCATTTTAATCCTTGAACACACTAATGGTTCTTACAGTGCAGTTCTTGCTTCCCTGCTGCCCTGAAATCTGGGGCACAATTGGGGCATTGCCAGCCTCGCACAGCACTCTCTGCCACTGTCTAAGTGCACTTCATGCGGGGTCTGCCAGAAGCTAAACCCTGCACCAGCTGAAGGTCTGCGAATGGGCCAAAGATCATTATGCTGTGTAACGAGCCTGCACTGTGTGCTCAGCCCATGCTACTACCATCCCTGCTGCTTGCTCTAGATGGTGCTCTTACAAAAGAGGCCTGGCATTGTGAGCTCTCGCTCCTTTTATGCCTGGGACGTTTCACTTCGGGTGCCCTGCTCTGCTGGGAGGCAAGCGGTGAAGCAAGAGAGCTGCCTTCTGAAATCAGGGAGGCAACAGTGATGCTGCCCTGGGCTGAAGCCATTTCCCAGCAAACTCTGTCCCCTCTGTACTGCAGACATTATGGGAGCAGCATTGGCTATGCTGTATTCTCTGTGCAGCTCAGACAGGCGTTAATCTTATTTCAGTCAGCTGTTCCTCCTGGCCTCACCTTTGTGATTGCTTTTACCTTCCAACTCGGAAACCCATCCATCAAAATCTGACATGCATTTCCATGCTCACTCTCCCTGCTTTTTAGGGGTCTGGCATTGCATTGATTACACTGGGGAAAGGAGGCAGGTGCAGCATTGCAGCCTGGCTCTGGTTATTTCTGGTGGTGTTGCCTCTATCTACCTGTCTCTGAGGGTTTGACTGAACTTGGATCAGCACCAGCAGTATTTCATCCCACCTCATTCCTGTTTGGACTTCCTTGCCTTACCTCTCACGTGGCCTCCTCACTTGTTAAGCGGCTTCATTAATCAGTGCTTTTTCTTTTAGCCAACAGATATTTTTAGAAACCTGAAGGGCAGTGACAAGCTAAGTGTATAACTGATTTCAGTTGCCTTGGTGGGATGTTCATTCCCACTTGGTGGGAGGCAAATTGTGCTCCCTCTGGAGCAGCTGACCAAGTCATGGATGTTGAAAAACTCACCCTGAACCAGAAGTTTGTGCAAGTACCATTTTTCTCCAAGGTTTTTACCCCCGTTTTTCTCCAGGTTTTCCCACAGATCCGCTTTACTGAGATGCCTCGCTCTGACCCTTTTCCAGGGTGCAATCTTGAAACAACCAAACAATTAGGAAATTGCTCTGTGGCATTAAGCTCCTTCCTTCCTTTGAACCTCCTTCCTCCTCTGTAAGAGTGCTTTGGATAACATCTCAGAGACCTGGTAGCACGGGTCATTAATCTAGTAATTAGCAGTGTCACCTGGGGCACCCTAAGCAAACTGCCTGAGTGAAAAGGGTAGGCTTGCACATGGTAAGGGTGTGTTTAAACCCTCAGTCTTAATCATCAAAAGGCTGGTCTGCACTTTCAAGTCTTGAAGGCGTAGCAATGCTGACTTGCATGTGAAAAGATCATACCCTAGTCCGGACACAGATGTGCAGACAGAAGAAGCTTCTGCCAGGTAAGCTACTGTGGTTTGTGGGGAGGTGATATATAAAAACTCTGCTAGAAGAAAACACTTGTCAGCCAGCATGCGCTAAGGGGCTCTTCTGGCTTAGCAATAGGCAGCAGCTCTGTGCTGTGGACAAGCCCAGAGGTAGCCATCTCGGATCCCATAACATGGCAGAAAAATCTAGGTAGCCATCTCGGATTCCATAACATGGCAGGAAAACCCCCCTGCCGTAGTTCATGAGACACGCTGCATGTGAGTGAAAAGGATTGTAGGATTTGCATCACAGAATGCTGCTCTCTGGGCATTTTGAGGTTGGAGGGGCTGTTGGCGGCATTGAAGGGGGCTTTTCCTCTCTCTCTCTCTCTCTCTCTGCTTCTGG